TTTGATATTGTCAACAACATTGAAACGCGAAAAATAATCAAAAGAGATATATTTTTTCTATGTATCTCAATTTATAGATATTACATTGTCACGACAGCATGTTAAACAAAGAACAACTGGTTCGGCTTTTAAGGGAAAAGTAGGCATGCGTTTGACATACGAACTTGAGTGCTGTATTTTGTTTGTTTGCACATGCCAAAACATCACAGAGGAACATCATTCAGTCATGAGAATTCCATAAAAACCCAATCCTTAAATTGAAGTCTATAAAGTTGCCAGTCACGAGCAGTCTATAGGGACACCTAAAGAGGTCGCCTAGAAAGGTAATCATATTCTTCTCAAATCCCAAAAGCAGTCGATCCCGTATTAGACAAACTCAATAATAGGCCTATCAAACCCAAGATACTAAAACTGGGCTGTAGACAAGGTGGGAATAGCTGTCGTGAATTCAAGCGCAACGACCACTAACTTATTGACCTACCATTTCATCGGCTACATTGGCCTGTGTGGAATCCATCCTCAGAGTGGCAGAGAATCTATCGAACTGTTTATCCTTAACAAAATCGACAAGCGTCTTAACTGCGTCAGCTGGTGGCTCTTCCGTCTCGGCCTCAGGAACCGGACGGCTAACGCAGACACGGATGCCGGTCGGATCTGAAGAGCGAGTCTAAAAAAGGAAAGGAAGAAGGTAAAGAAATCCAAGCTAGGCCTTTTGACGAAGGTAAGTCAGACAGGCTGTCATATAGGTGAGGCTTAGCAAAGGTGCCTAGACGTTATAGCAATAGGACACGGAAAGGAGTTGGCGGGACTAGGCCCTGAGACTGCCAGCGACCTAGCAATACGGTAAGAAAGTCTAGTAAAAGGAATACTACAAAAAAATGACCCATTATTGTTGTTAGTAGCCATGTCTTTTATAGGTAGATATGAGTATGAAGATGCAAGCAAGCACGACTAACTTCTACATTACCTCCGAATAATAACGCAGACCAAAATGCGGGTAAACCCAATGTACCAAATCTGTCACTTCAAAATCACGGTTTGTAACCACTTAAAGAAAGAGAATGTACATTGGACTGGGGGGCCCTAATTAAAACCTGTGAGAAAGTTACCAAAAGCAAATAAAAGTTGTCAGAAGGCAGCTAATCAGCAACTGGTATTAGTCGAACTCTAATGTACGTTTAATCATACAAATAAGGCTTGAAGAGGCAAAATAAGAGCAGATGCTTGGGGCATTTATATCTTCCTTAAGGCAAGCTCAATGGCGAGTAGACTTCGACGATAAAATAGGTTGCATCAAAAAGGTTCTGAACAACTAAAATATTTTGGAGAAATAAAGGTAAATAGAAAAATTCACAATGAATGCAACGAAGTCTGTAGTCCCTGAAAGTATAAATCGCTTAAGAAATTTGGACGAGCTATTAAACTAGTAATACAAATAAATAAAAACCAAAGTGGCTCAAGTGAATTGCTAATAAGCCAAACTAAATGGAAGAATAAAATCCTAATATGTACGGCTATCCTAGGCATTCTAATAATTCCAGTCATTATTTTAGGACATTTATGGTGAAAGAAGGACTTCATTTTTGTGCTTTATCTAAATTTACTTTAGGAGAGAACGCGATTTATAAATCAAATACAAATTGGATAATAATAAAAGAAATCATTTCGAAGATTTGAAAAGAAAATGAAAAATTGAAAAGAAAAATCATACAGTGGAAAAGTGATACAAAATAAGTACAGTTATTGAAAAAATTAGATAGCATAGCTATGAACAGGAAGGGACAAAAGAGGAGGCAGACAATCATATTCAAAGATAGGGCAGGATAAGAAGCGGTGATCCTCGTATGTGAAACAACTGACGAAAATATTCATTTAAGAGAGCCGTCAACAAGGGGTGACAGATTCACGCTATCTTCTTGACTCAAGCTCACCGTATTCCAATCAGGCCTAATGACGGATAACACTTCAATATAGGTCTTCTGAGCTTCCTCTTTTGTTATTTTCTCGCCCAATTTGTTCCAAGCTTCCCTAAAATGTAAATAAAATACTTAAAAATTCGTTAAACAATGCATGCATCACGGACACGTAGATCAATTTTTCAAGAATAATATGGAAGATAGGTGCTTATGTATAAGAGGTAATAAAAAGGACTTAACATGCGCGTTTGGCATGTTTAGATTTTACAAAATTTCAACCTAGCCAGATTTTAGCTTAAGACTCTAAGCAAAACAAATCCCTTAGGCTATTCATTATCCAATTCTCTGTGCACGCAGATCCGTACAATATAATCATGCTTTTATGTGGTAGTATAAAATAGCTCAATCTAAATACGCTGAAGTACATTTACACGTAGTTAATGCATCGAAAGCGACGAGCTTATGTATATGGCTCAGAATTAATAGTAAAAAGCTTAAATGTGGCAATTTTGTACTGATTTTCAAATAAAATTATACTTTTACGAAAGTAATCCTCAAAAAATTGCTTTTATTGATGCCTTTGTATATAAAGGTAGTTCATGCGTGATTGCGATCTTATACTTTATGCAAGGTTAATTTTTAATTGGCACGTAAATAAGTTAAACTAATCCGAAAATACCATTTTGCTTTGCCCTTGAAATCAAGAAATCCCGGTCTCGGTGTGTTGCACGGACCTTCTGTAGCCTAAAATGAGGATGTCGAAATTTTCAATTAAATGAGATTGCAAATAAACCAATATTTAAATTAATGGACTATACATTAACAATTCGTTATCAAAAACCCTAGCGTCGTAAATATACTTTAAGGTAATTAAGGATAGAAGCGTTCCTTTGTAAAAAAACAAAACAATTAAGGTTTAATCAAAATGGCCATTTACAGTCAAGCCACTAGTCAAAGGTAAATATAATCGAACAACGAAAGGTCCAGAAGGCAACCCGGATTCGAGAAGCTTAAATCAACTATGCATAGACATATAACTATCTCCAACACACAATACAATCACACCCGTAAATATCCCGTGAGAAGGTAAGGTATCAATCGGATATACCTAAACTGAATAGCCTAGAGGCAATAAAAACAAAAAATGCTGTACAACCTGCTTGAATAATCCATAAAGTGTAAGAAGCTGTTCTTCATTGAGCTCTCCTGCAATTGAGCGGACGAATGCTGTCGCCTGATCAAACTGTTTGGAGACATCAATCACTTCCATCTTCCGATAAATATCTATAAGATAAACATAGGCAAGATACACTAGTTCGTGTGATTTACGGCCACTTGCGCTATATACGACCCAGGTTTCAAGTAGCTAACTGCCGAAGCCAAGACACTTTCAAAATTGGTCATGACACGACACAAGATACATAAATAAGTAATCCGCGCGATTAAAAGCTGAACGTACTTGAGAACAAATAAACTGATTATGACGTAAACTAATTTTATTTAAGTTGCTCATAGCAAGTAAAAGCAAAATGTACAGAGGCTAAAGTACTTCTTTCGGCAAGAAAGCAAAATGGAGATCGAGTTTAAGATAAAATAAAAAGTTCAAGGAACAACGAAGCGAACCAAGAATAATGTCAGGGATAGATGAAGAAAAAAGAAAGATCGATGGCAGATCAACATATGCCGTTAAACAATAATCTCAGAAAGAAATATAATAAAATAGTGTAAATAATGGCTCGAAAAAATATAGTTAATGAGTGAAATATAATATAAGAATGTGACAAAATAGATTTGACGTTCGTAAAGCAGGTATCGAATTTCCAATGCGAAGTAGTGTAGCGGATATTTATCTTTCAAGCAGTTCATGAATTACTAAGCTCACTTGAGGACAATTGTTTAGAATCATGTAAAAATGCTTCCGCGCCAATTTTTGACTCGAATATTCTGAAATCTCGCCAAAAAGTATATGAGGAAAAAGAAGACGGTTCAGGTTGAAGACGGGCCAAGGAGACAGGATAAAAATAGGATCTGCTTAGGTTCTCATCACTTTTTGATTCACATGTGCCTGGGCTAAGTCCATCAAATGCCAAAACTTTAGGCTTGAAATTAATACCTAGGGCCCAACTAGGCCCAGTCTCTACACAATACAAATAAGGGAAGAAATGATCAACGAGATTACTCAAGTCACAATATGAAGTGTTCCCAACCCTATTATATTGATTCTGTACAATTCCAGCATGATTAATTATAAAAATCCTGCACCTAGGGACACCC